TTTTGCGATCTATCTCAATTCGTTTAGAGGCTAGATTGATTATGAGAGACAGACGGAAATCCTGAAATCGCCATAGAACTTTATAGGTTCGGAAATGATTATTTCGATGAGCTACAAACGGAAAAACAAAATTAATATGTCCTCCATACTATGGTGGAGGGTATAAATTATATATTATGGTATAATATAGCCTCCGATTTTCGGTGTTTGGAAGTGTTTGAGCCACACTTTTCTACCGAGGTATCATATTAAAATTCCTAGAACGAAATAATTAAATATTAATCCACCTTTAGACATTGGAATTGAAATTCGCTTTCTCTTGACAGCATTAACAATAGCTCATACAAAAGTTCCGTCAGAAGTTATGTATTTATAATGTCCAATGGTCCAAAGGACGCCGGGCCTAAATGAATTTATTTCATAAGAATCATTTCTTTTATAAATGCTTAATTTATGTTTAATTTGTGTGGTAGGAAATTCCATAAACCCACCAGTTTGCCATCCTTTTCTAAAAATAGTAACTCTTTCATCAGAATTTCAAATTCAAGGATTGGCATTAATATCATTGCATGCTAATGTCAGTCTCTTGTGGGCCTTATATAAAGTGACCTAGAAGTGAAAGTGAAATAAATATAAATTTCACTTGTAATTTGCATAAATAAATATTTATTTTTAGACTTTATATCATTCAATGTTAAAGTCGACTATTGTTGTCGTCTATGCTATTTTTAATATTTGTCTTTCAAAATATCTAAATTTGTCTAGGTGTTAAATTAGATACCAACTAAAATTTCCGGTAAAAACTAAACTAGGTGTTCTACTTCGATTTGCTTTCGTTTCATTCATGATTTTAGCATTACAATATAACGCAGAAAACGTGAGTCCAATATTATGACTGAAATGAAAAACGATGTCGTGTGTGTCGGCCAAGTATGGTAACCAGTTTTTGTAATTAACACCTTTATATCACAAAATTCTCTTTTCTTCCGAAATTTGTAAGAAATAGCTTACTAACTAATTTATTTGTATTGTGGGGTGGTGAACCGATTTAAATGGTACTCTAAAATGTAACGGATAAAACAAAAATGAGTAGAGAAAGGCTTTAATTAGAAAATCAAATAACACTATTAACCATACAAGGTTATTAACTTTCAAAAAGTAAAGATTACGAAATTAAATAGGGTGTGAAACTATGGAAAGTTTACTTATACTTTTTTTTCCAGTCAGGGGGACGACATAACCGATTTTCGACTTTGACCTAATTACTGTAATGTACATAACTTCGATGATTTATTTCAATTCGTTTTAACTCTAGAATTATTAAGTCAACGAAGATACAATAAAACATACACTCGAACCTATAACTACCTACATACCAAATTTTAAGATTCTAACATTAGCCGTTGCTTATGAGCATTTATTATTGCAAGTAGTTTCTTACTTTTCCTAACCCTTATAGTACGAATTTCTAAAAACCCAGCCTTAGCACATACCGGGAGTTGATTATCAAGTTTAGTACCTTTTAGTGCCTTTGTAATACGAATTTACCCAAAAATATTCCAGCTTCAGCCGTTTCTGAGCCTTGATTCCATTTGATTTTGAAAGTTTCGTAAATTACAATTTTATAGATAAAACAAAAAATATTAGACATCAAACTCAAATGTTGAGAATTCATCTAGAGGAACGATACTACTTCGTAAGGGTTTAATCATGGCATAATTACCCAAGGTAGTCTCTTGCAGATATATAATTCCAATTTTTTTTCATAAATTTTCTTTTGACAACATTCAGCTTTCAAAATTTAAATTAAAATATCATCCTTTATTTTTTAAAATCTATGCCAATTCACATGCATAAAATTCTATGGAATTTTTTTTCAAGCAATTTGAAATTAAATTAAAAAGGATTGCCATTATTAATATCTCAATTAAGATAATCTTCTCTAATTATGCCATGGGTTTAATGAAGAAAGCCAGTATATTTTTCCAGATGTGAGAAAATATCGGTTTACATAGTTTAGCATATGCCCGTAACTTCGTTAGCGAATGTTGGAAGTATTTAAATATGTCTTAATATTCAGAAAACTGTACATTTCTGAAGAGGTAATCAAACTACACACCAATATCAACCATAGTTAAGATTTCGGTACAATTTAGTAACTTTACTCTCTTATAGAACGTATTTCCAAAACTACCTCTATATCTCAACACTACACTCCAATTCTGTCTGCATCAAAATTCTGTCTCTATACGAAGTTCGGTACATTTCTTATGCTCCTGCAGTACTTATTGCAAAACTAATAAAAAATTTAATGATTCGAGCTCTACAAGTTCACTCAAATACAAATTTTACATCAGTAAGGAAAGTAGTAAAGTCTGATTGGGCCGACTATATGATACCCTTCACCACTTTGGATATATTGTATATGTATACTAACAATTTAAAGTCAATATTCTCTCGAACATATGCCCTTCTACAACCTATGCTAAATTTAATTCGGGCAGATTTAGTACAATGTGACAAATTTATTGAAATCGATTAATAGCAAACTTGATACTTGCTATTCGGTACGCCGCACTGTTAACAATATAATCTCAATCAGACACCCCTTCGAAGCTATGTCTGCATCTGTACCAATTTTAACGAAACGCAAAAAACGTCATTCTAGTCTCAAATTGATACGTAGTGCAAAATTTCGTGTCAATCGGACAAACCTTAGAGGTTTGAACACAATTTACATTAAAAAAAATTATGTGGGAGCTATATCTAAATCGAAATCGATTTTCCCGAAACTTAGCACACATCATTCTAGACTCAATACAATATGCTATGCCAAATTTCGTGCAAATCGAAAGATACATAGGGACTTTGGTGCACCACTTCCATTAAATCAGACGAAAAATATATGAACCGATTTTCTCGAAACTTAACACACATCGTTCAAGACTTAATTTAGAACGCTATGACAAATTTTGTGCAAATCGAAAGATATATATATATATAACATTTACATTAAATCGGAAACAATATATATGGAAGCTATATCTAAGTCTGAACCCATTTCTACACAACTTGACATACATCAATCTAGACCTAATTTAGTTCTCTATACAAAATTTTGTTCCAATCGGACCAATATTGGCAATTACTTGCACCATTTACATATAATCGGACGAAACTATATATGGTAGCTATATCTAAATCTGAACCGATCTTAACACATGGCAACATAAAATCGAACGAAAATATAAATAAGACCTATATCAAAATCTGAACCGGTTTCAACAAACCTTGTCACACATCATTTTTTCCTCAATTGCATTCGCTATTCAAAATTTTATTCAATCGGAAAAATATTGGGAGTTTTGTGTATCATTCAGAAAAAATCGGACGAAACTATATATGGAAGCTACATCTAAATCTGAACCGATTTTAACAAAACTTCGCAGACATCCGCCTGGACCTACTTCAGTACTCTGTGCAACATTTTGTCCCAATCGGACAAATATTGGGAGTTTGGTGTATCATTCACAAAAAATTCGGACGAAACTACATATGGGATCTATATCGAAATCTGAACCGATTTTAACGAAACTACGCAGACATTAGTCTGGACCTAATTCAGTACTCTGTGCAAAATTTTGTCCCAATCGGACAAATATTGAGAGTTTAGTGTAGTCACAAAAATCGGACGCAACTATATATGGGAGATATATCTAAATATGAACCGATTTTAATAAAATTTCGCATACATAAGTATGGACCTGATTCATTGCGCTGTGCAAAATCTTGTCCTAATCAGACAAATATTGGGAGTTTGGTGCATCATTTACCTAACAGTGGACGAAATTATATATTGGAGCTATATCTAAATCTGAACCGATTTTCTCCAATTTCAATAGGGTTCGTCCTTTGGCCAAATATGTGAACTGTGCCAAATTTCAAATCGGATTATTAATGCGACCTGTACTTTGTTCACAAAAATACATGGACAGACGGACAAGCAGACGGGCGGACGGACGTGCGTAAATCGACTCAGAAAGTGATTCTATGCATATTCTCAAAGAGAACCATGGGTCTATCTCTATTCCTTTTGCATGTTACAAAGACATAATACACTGTGCCAGTGTGGTGAAGGTTATAAAAATTGCTTTACAAATTAGACGAGCCAAGTAGTACAGATGTGGATAACTTTAAAGCATTGGTGCTCAAACTTCCTAAAATCTTACGTTAGCATAAAAGGTAAAACGCAGTCTCATTTGTTCTCTTTTCCTCAGTCATTTTTGATTAAGAATTCTCAGTTACGCATACATTCAATGATGAATCCTAGTTTTTAACACAATAAACACTTTTATAATAACCGCTAATTTAAATATTCAAATATTTGACCATCAGAAAAATGTACGGATTTTTCAAAATAAGATGGAAAAATCTGTTTGAAAGCAATTATCAGATTTGAACCATTATAGAGACTACTTGATGACCCCTTACAATATATTAAGTATCTTCCGTATAAGACCACACATATCAATATACAATTTATATCAATTTATGACACGCCCATTTCTGAGTAAATCAATGCTTCATATAAGGGACATTTACAGAATCTACAAGTGTAAAGTACACCCCGATTATTTTATTAATGCCAAATGCCATTAATACCTGTCGCAAAAATTGTTATTCACTTTACCACGATTATGGCAACAAAATGCGGTACTAATTTTTTATCACCCTGTAATGCGAATGCCACCATAATTTCTCTTTCATGATCACAACACAACATTGTCTTAGAATGTTCACAAAACCCTTTTGGCTTATATTAACCGCACTTCAACAATTACCACCAACAGTTACTTACCAACAATTGGCAAAAGCAGACGACTACGACGACAGCGACACTTAAACACAATGTTGCAGCAACGACGAAAACGACCACAGATAATGGCATTGCATCAAGTGACCCATATATGGCCAACAAAACAAAGAAGACGGACAACAACAACAATAACTACAACAACATCACAACTATTAGCGGTTACCATTATTTGCATGTATTTGGACAACATTGCACCAGTTAGGGCTGGTGTATTCTATCCAAGAGGCGGATCATTTGGGGTAAGGAAATTGTCAAGCCAATTTGCCAAAACGACTCAACGAGAGAACAAAAAAAAAAAAACAATGGAACAAAAATCCTTTTTATTGACAGTATTTGGCAGCTGTGGCCATACCAGTGGACTTGCCCAATCGTAATATTTACATGGCTTTTAATTTTGAATCCAATTATGGTTTGCCATCGAATGATTCCTACAATGAGTGGATAGATAGGGTGAGTAGCCGGAGAAAACCATTGTGATTATTATGATTATGATTCTATTTGTGTAGTGGTGTGAATAATATTTACTTGTAATTTTTTATTGTAACTCAAAAGCCCTTTTCATAATTGTTTTGTTTCCTCATTTCTTTGTAATAATAGTGGGATTTAGATGAAACCTACTTGGGTATTGGCAACAACGTCACAGTCATTAATAACCGAAATTTAAAAAGGAGCAAAAGTAAAAGATCCCCCTCCGCCAATACATCGGACCAGCAACGATTATTGCCACGTTACGACCGCCGTTCATTTTATCGCACATTTACTGGTTATTTGGATCTCTATCAAATGAATGGTACCGGTTGTCTGCTGAGAACGATTTGCGAAGTGGCCGCATCAACAATGGATGAAAACAATGGTGTTTTGGGCAGTATTTTGAAAATTTTATTCATGTAATTATGAATTGTTTTGCCTTTTTCCTCTTTTTGTGATAATTTTAAATTTTATTTCTTAAGCAGAGTGGGGGAAACTTTCAAAAGACATAAAAACAATGGAGATATGTGAAATTTTGAGGATTTGCCAAAGTTAAAAGGGAAGGAAAAGACAGTGGTATTGCATTTTGAAACGTTAAAATCATTCATCGGCTATATATATCATGATAGCTACTATATAAAGCATACATTGCAGGTCAGAATACACACAATACATATAAATTTTGACATGTCCGTCTGTCTGTTGAACTCAGGATAGAGCTCGCAATACATACGAATTTTCAAATGTTCCACATACTATGTGGAAATTTTCAAAGTTTCCCAAAGTGTTAGTCGTATTTCAGTATCAGAATTTTATATTCTGGAAAACAATTATCAACCGGAACGTCTGTAACTTGGTATTTCTGTTTCTTAGGAGAAATTGTCTGAAAAAGCCAATTCTTCGTTAAAACCCGCATTTATTTCCCGAAGTAGTCGTAATTTCTTATTTCAAGTTTTTAGAGTGAAGAACCCCTCGAATACTTTCAATATAGTACCATATTTATATCCTTTATACTCCTTGTTCATATGACTAAACTGGAAAAAGGAAACGAAAAAGGCACAAGTCTGTTAAGTTTTGCGGTTGAGATTTAGATACAGCTCCCACATATAGTTTAGTCTGATTTGAGATAAATGGTGCACCAAACTCCCAAGGATCCACCTACGGAAATTTACTATGAATATCGCGTGTTCGTCCGTCTGTCTGACTGACTGGTGAGCACGATAACTCTCGTAGGTAGTAACCAAGCTTTGCACATTGTAATATTTCTTCCAGACGTAGATTAAATTCGATTATGGGGAATATCGGTCCACCCCTTCTGGTATCTCCACCCACAAAATTATCAAAATTTTGTCGAAATTAAAATTTATAATATCATGTATTATTTTTGAAATACATAAATCGAGTACGAGAATGAAATCGATGGGTTCATTCAGACACATTCCCCCCAAAATCCCAACGTTTTGAAAATTTGGTAATCCAATATTATTAAAACCAGTGAGCGAAGCAGTATAGTCGG